AACTATGATGAGATAAAATAGGAGCAGGACATTTATATGGAACTCATAAAACACACAGAGTTGTGAGGCTAAACATCCTATGAGGAGGGCACAAACTCAATTAGCAGAAAACGTTGGGGGTGCAAAATATCATGCTGTGCACCTATTCACCAAAGGCGCAGAGGAAAAACCAGGTTTTGAGGTTCTTTCTAAAGGTTTCTAGTGAAGGGACTTTCCTAATCTCCCCAGATAAGGAATTCCAAAGTCGGGGGGCCACAGAAGAGAAGGCTCTCTTCCTTGTGCCCACAAGACAAGCTTGTCAGATTGGTAAAGGCGAAAAGAGGACCTACCCCGAGGAATGAAGGGCTCTGGTTGGTACGTGGAGAGAGATACAGTCACGAAGGTAGGCGGGTCCCAAACCGTTTAGGGTTTTGTAGGTGATAATCTGTACCTTGAATTGGGACTGGAAAATAAACAGCAGTCAGTGGAGCTCCTTAAACAGGGGGGTTGACCGCTCCCTGTAGGTTGCCCCAGTTATTAATCTGACAAGTTGTAGTTTCCAGGCTGTCTTCAAGAGTAGCCCCACGTAGAGAGCATTACAGTAGTCCAGTCTAGAGGTAACTAAGGGATGGGCCAACAAGGTCAAGTCAGACTTCATGAGGTATGGTCGCAGGTGGCGCACAAGTTTTAATTGTGCGAAGGCCCTGCCGGCCACCGCCGACACCTGCGCATCAAGCATCAGCGCTGAATTCAGGAGGACCCCCAAACTGTGGACCTGTGACTTCAGGGGGAGTGCAACCCTGTCCAGCACAGGTTGCCACCCAATGCCCCAGTCAGATGAGCGACTGACCTGGAGGACCTCTGTCTTGTCAGGATTGATCCTTAGCTTGTTTGTCCTCATCCAAATCGTTACAGCGGCCAGGCACTGGTCCAGTATCCTCGGGGCTTCCTTGGAGTCTGGTGGAAAAGAGTAGTTGAGTTGGGTGTCATCTGCATAGAGGTGGCACTCCGGATGACCTCTCCCAAAACTCCGGATGACCTCTCCCAGTGGTTTCATGTAGATATTAAATAGCACGGGGGACAGAATAGAACCTTGTGAGACCCCACAGGTCAATGGCCAGGGTTCCGAGCAAGAGTCCCCCTGCTTCACCAACTGGGAACGACCCTCCAGGAAGGACCGGAGCCACAGAAGAACCATGCCCCTGAGTCCCATCCCAGCGAGTCTATAATAGTGTAATGTTAAAGATTTGGGGCGTGCACAATTCTGTTTCGCAATTTGGGACTCAGGAAAATTTGATTCCTGGATCACCAAAAATGGAGCAGGTAGAACCCAGCCGAAGCCTGAACCGGATCACAAGTAGCCGGAACTTTCAGCTAATGGGGGTGATGGGCCCAAGCGGCAGTCTACATGAGGAGGGCTCTACTGGGAACTTACTTTCCCAGCAGTTCACATGGCACAGCAGTTCAAAAGTCCCTTTTGTGGATTTTTTTTGAAATCCAGAATATTATTATGATATTTATGTATATCCTGCTTTCCTCTCTTAAAAATGAAACTCAAAGAAGAATATGTTTTGTCCACTTGCCGTATCATCAGAGGCGTTTTATATAAGCTCTCCAGGTGGAAATTAAATCAGTATGAAATCGGAAAGAACAGGAAAAAAAACTGGAACTTTTCAACTGGACATGATGAGTCTTTAGTGCTGCTAACATAATTGTTTATTTAATAGATTTTAGTGGTAATGTGGTATTTTTGTTGTATTTTGTTTAAATTGGTTGTTTTCCCTCACAGTAAGAAAAAATGAATATAACCAACCCTCTGTATCCATGGATTAACCAGCCATGAATTCAGCCACTCATGGCTTGAAAATACACACACACACACACACACACACACAAGGATAAAGCTTGACTTTGCTATTTTATTATATATATAAAATGCAAAACCTTATTTGAATGCAGCTTTGTATATATTGGAATTTCAGCATCCATGGATTTTGGTATCCTCATGGTTCCTTGAAATGAACCACATTGGATACCATGGCCTCCTGTAAATAAGTAAAATAAAGTTGTTGATTTAAAATTGTTGATTTTAAAGTTGTTGATTTAAAATTGATTTAAAATTTGTTAGCAAACTCTAGAATTTCCTTTCCTCACAGCAATATTTGCTTCCGTTTCTCAGATTTCTTTCCCACAAACACCAATTCAGATGTGGGTGTCTTTTCTATGTCTGGACTAAGGGTGGAGTACAACATACAAATGGCAAATATTCAATGCCAAGACATAAATAGATGATACACATGCATAAACATTAAAATCATCTATCTCAACACTAAAATCCACTGTTTAAAACCATCTCGATCATCAGCTTCACTATAATCTCCTTATCTTCTCTTAGTGGAGCCATGGTGGCACAATGGGTTAAACCCTTGTGCTGGCTGAATTGCTGACCTGAAGTTCAGCAGTTCAAATCTGCAAGATGGGATGAGTCTGTCAGCTCCAGCTTCCCATGTGGGGACATGAGAGAAGCCACCCACAGGATGGTAACACACCTGAGCTTCCCTGGACAACGTCTCTGCAGACGGCCAATTTTCTCACACCAGAAGCAACTTGCAGTTTCTCAAGTTGCTTCTGACATGAAATTTTTCCCCCCTTAGTAATCCTTTTTTGCCATATCCTTTATGGACTCTTGGCAATTCTTCTGTGTTCGTGCGTTTCCCTCTTTTTGTTCTTTTTGTCTGCACAAGCTTTTCTCTTCTTGCTTCTTTGACATTGTTGTTTAACTCTGCTAATGCTCCTTTTGTTCTCCTGTTCTGCACAAACCTTTCATTACTTGCTTCTCTGACATGGTCATGATGACCTTGTCACAGATACTCAAAGACAAGGGAGTTACGGAAGGATGGGAATTTTTCAAGAGTGAAATACTCAAGGCACAATTGCAAACCGTGCCAACAAAGAGAAAAAAATAGGACAAGTGCAAAGAAGCCAGAATGGATGTCCAAAGAACTTCTAACTGTGCTAAAACACAAAAGAGACATGCACAAGAAGTGGAAAAAGGGAGAAATCACCAAAGAAGAATTCAAAGAAATAGCCAACACCGGTAGGGAAAAGGTCCACAAGGCTAAAGCACAAAATGAGCTCAGGCTTGCCAGGGACATTAAAAACAATAAAAAGGGCTTCTATTCTTATGTCAGTAGAAAAAGGAAAAACAAGGAGGTGATAGGGCCTCTTCGAGGAGAAGATGGGGCAATGCTGACAGGGGATAGGGAAAAGGCAGAACTACTTAATACCTTCTTTGCTTCGGTCTTCTCACAAAAAGAAAGTCATCTTCAACCTCAGCAAGATGGAGTGGATGAGGGATTAGAGGACATCCAACCCCAAATTGGGAAACAAGTCATCCAGGAATAACTGGCCGCTCTAAATGAGTTCAAGTCCCCAGGGCCAGATCAACTACACCCAAGAGTATTGAAGGAATTAGCAGAAGTCATTTCGGAACCATTGGCAATCATCTTTGAGAGTTCTTGGAGAATGAGAGAAGTTCCAGCAGATTGGAGGAGGGCCAATGTGGTCCCAATCTTCAAGAAGGGAAAAAAGGATGACCCAAACAATTACCGTCCGGTCAGCCTCATGTCAATCCCAGGCAAGATTCTGGAAAATTAAGGAAGTGGTCTGCAAACACTTAGAAACAAATGAGGTCATTGCTAATAGTCAACATGGATTTATCAAAAACAAGTCATGCCAGACTAATCTGATCTCTTTCTTCGACAGAGTGTCTAGATCTAGGAAAGTAATGCTACCCCTCTATTCTGCTTTGGTTAGACCACACCTGGAATATTGTGTCCAATTCTGGGCACCACAATTCAAGAGAGATATTGACAAGCTGGAATGTGTCCAGAGGAGGGCGACTAAAATGATCAAGGGTCTGAAGAACAGGCCCTATGAGGAGCGGTTTAAGGAGCTGGGCATGTTTAGCCTGAAGAAGAGAAGGCTGAGAGGAGATATGATAGCCATGTATAAATATGTGAGAGGAAGTCACAGGGAGGAGCTTGTTTTCTGCTTCCCTGGAGACTAGGACACGAAACAATGCCTTCAAACTACAAGAAAGGAGATTCCATCTGAACATGAGAGAGCCGTTCAGCAGTGGAACTCTCTGCCCTGGAGTGTGGTGGAGGCTCTTTCTTTGTAAGCTTTTAAACAGAGGCTGTCAGGGGTGATTTGAATGCAATATTCCTGCTTCTTGGCAGGGGGTTGGACTGAGGTCTCTTCCAACTCTTTGATTCTATGATTGCATGATAGTTGAGTTGCTGTGAGTTTCCCGGTCTGTATAGCCATGTTCCAGAAGCATTCCCTCCTGATGTTTTGCTCACATCAATGGAAGGCATCCTGAGAGGTTGAGGAGTCTAACTTTGATAGGTTTTTTTTGGGGGGGGGTATCTTTCCTAACTTGTGCCATTTACTATTTCCTGAACTTTTATTTTGAAGACAGATGACCTTCTTGATTTCCCTTTCAACGTTTTTATTTCTGAGAAAGTCATAGACTGGGGTTCTTTATGGCAGTTACAACCATGTAACATAGAGTTGTGCACTTTTGACTATCATGTTACCTATGTAACCTCTAGTTTAGGTACCATATAGGAACCGTGAAGGGCTTAAACATCCCAAAGGCACCAGACCCTGTCTGACCTCCAAAACTAAGCAGGGTCAGCCCTGGTTAGTTCTTGAAAGGGGGAGACTGCTAATGAATACCAGAAGGAGGAACTGGGAAAACCACCTTTAGGATTCCTTACCTAAGAAAGCACAATGAAATTCATGAAATTGCCACAAGTCAACACACAATATAAAGGCACATATGCACAGTCAGAGGAACTATTAACATACTGGGTTAATCTCAGGGAGGAGGCAGACAGATTCAAGTAGGACCTATGGCATTCCTTCATGTGATAAGATCTTTAGCCTAATTAAGCATGTGCAAGATATATAGGCTGCTGAGTCAATGTTGCACATAACTGGTCCTATGTTGAGAATGGTAGCAGGAATGTATGTATGAGGATGGTAGCAAGAAATAGAGGAAATAACATTGAATCGTAATCTTTTGTCCTCTTCCATAGCTGGTTGGAAATAACCAAAGAGAAAGGTGGCATGAGAATGGAAGGGACTGGAATAGTTTTTATTGTTCTGCTTGCAATTCTTCTGCTTCTCAACTATCTGAAACAGCAGTGGTCACGCTGACATTTCCCCCCTGGGCCTCTTTCCCTTCCTCTTATTGGAGGCGTATGGAGAATTAAATTTGGAATTGGATGGAATGTAGAGACACTAATAAAGGTACTTTTTTCCCTAAATAATTAAGTAATAACTTTGAATCTGACTCAAAATAAGTGAAAATCAGTGTGCATTTTTTTCTATGGTAACTGTGGATAAAAGAAGTGTGAGTTACAAAAATACATAGTTAAATGTTTGACATGAAAACTTAGTATTAATATGTTTGGTTGTTGTAGTAATTTCATTAATGTTTTGTCAGAGTTTGGCAATATTGCTTACTCGAGCTATAACTCTAAGAATCTTCTACGCAGTATAGACATTGTATGTTATTGCTTCAGTCCAAAAGGTAACTTTCCCCAGCTTTGCTTTTTGTTCCAAAGATTCTCCCAGTGTTACCAACAGTGCACGAGTATTTATTTATTGTGTCAGTATCAACCTGACAATTGTATTACATTTTTAACAAGTTTTTAACAAAGGGTTTGCAAGCTTGGTAGTTGATTAAATGTCCTTTGACCAGTATCTGGCCATTTGGAGTGCTTCTGGTGTTGCCGCAAGAAGGTCTTCCATTGTGCATGTGGCAGGGCTCAGGTTGCATTGCAGTAGGCGGTCTGTGGTTTGCTCTTCTCCACACTCGCATGTCGTGGATTCCACTTTGTAGTCCCATTTCTTGAGGTTGGCTCTGCATCTCATGGTGCCAGAGCGCAGTCTGTTCAACGCCTTCCAAGTCGCCCAATTTTCTGTGTGCCCAGGGGGGAGTCTCTCGTTTGGTATCAGCCATTGATTGAGGTTCTGGGTTTGAGTCTGCCACTTTTGGACTCTCGCTTGCTGAGGTGTTCCAGCGAGTGTCTCTGTAGATGCATGAGTGGGTAATCAACAGAATACTTCTGTTCTTGCAATGAGTGCAATGAAACATCTTCCCACCCTCTGCTCTGTGCAGACTTCTGAGTTTCCCACATATCTTCCTTCAAGGCCCCAGTGCAATTTTGATGACATTAAGGGAACCAGGGTGAAGAAACTTCCTCCTTCACAGAGTCAGTTCTATTACTAGAATATCTTAATAGAAACTACACTTGATAAATAGAGGTATATAGATGAGGTGTAGTATGGTATATAGAACAGAACGGGGAGGTGGATGGCAAGAAATCACATGGAATTCAACAGTGTTGGGATTTAAAGCTCCGTAAAGTGTGATTGCCCTCCAAACTGCACAAGTATTTAAAGTTGGTCATGATGGGAATGTGGCCAAATTTGGTTCAGATGCATTTTCAGCGGGGTTCACAGTGCTTTCTGGATGTGGGTGGACTGCAACTCTCAGCATCCTCTTTCATTGCTCACCCCCCCCCCCCAAAGCCCTGCCAGTATTTAAATTTGGCAATGATGTGTAAATATGTGTCAAGTCTGTCCAGATCTATTGTGCATTAGGTTTAGGTTCAGAGTAGTCTTGATAATGGATGAACTTTTACTGTCATTGCCCGCCACAAACCCCACCAATACTTAAAGTTGGTCTTGATGGATATTTGTGCCAAGTTTTGTCCAGAGCAATTGTCAATGGGGTTCACGGTGCTTTCTCCCTGCAAATTCCCCTCACTCAGGATCAATCTCCCCCCTCCCACCTGCCCCAAACCTCCTCCAGTATTTTCTGTTGGTCATGGGGGGAGTGTGTGCCAAGTTTGGTCTAGCTCCAATGCTGGTAAGTTCACAGTGGTCTCTGGAAAAGAGAGACACACAGACAGACAGGCAAGCATATTTCGACATCCATCTATCTATATATCTATCCACACACATACATCCATGTAGTCTTTCATGGGCCTCATTCCACTTCTTCAGATGCACTGATGAAGAAAATTGGTTGATAAAAGTTTCTTAGTTACTTTGCCAATTGCAAAGAAATGACCCAAAGCACATCTACTGACCACCCAATGGTGACTGGCAGAAAAGCACTATTGAGCTTTTGCTGAGAAGATTGTAGTACAACAGACACTAAATGATATTTTAATGTTGATAAAAAAGAAACACTTTTCAAAAAGTCCCCCACAGAGTCATAGCAAAAGAGCAGTGACATTATGTGATCAGCCCCAACTAAAGGCACTAATGTCGAACATGAATTTCAGAGGCCCTGCCAAGGCAGAGGCCACCAAGACCCAAAAAGAGGATCCGTAATGCCTGGTGAGACAATAAGCACCAGTAAAGATTTTCCGTATTTCCCACTATATCTCACCATGTTGAAGCAAGGCCACCAAAGTTTATTTTCTGTTACAGCTTGAAAGGCAGTAATTTGCCTAACAAGTCGACATGCTGGCTAGGCAGGCAAATACAGAATATATCGAGTTTTCCATTCAAATTTTCCTGCACCCATCCCCTGAGCCGGCTTCACTGTGATTGGCTGTGATATCAGCGAGCTGGGAGAACCAGCTGGGGGCCGAAGTAGCTCATTCAATGAGAGTCAGAGCCACACTTCGGCCACTCAGCAATGATGAGAGAGGGGGCAGGCAACAGTGGGGAAATGTCCTTTGTGTCAAGTGATTACCATGTCCATGAGCCCCATACCTTAGGTGGTCTAGTCAAAAAGGCCCTCCGAAGTCCAAGGAAAGGGGCTATTTATTTATTGTCCATGCTGATGGGGTTCTGCCAAGTCCATTGTTTAGGAATGATGACCCAGGAAGTCTTGCAACACCTGGATTCTGAGATGCTGGGCACAGCTCACGAAAAGGTCACCTTGTACAATCTATATAAATAAAAATGTAATGTTCGTTTGTGGGATTAACAGAACTCAAAAACCACTGGACGAATTGACACCAAATTTGGACAAAAGACACCTAACAACCCAATGTATGTCCTTCACTCAAAAAAATTATTTTGTCATTTGGGAGTTGTAGTTGCTGGGATTGATAGTTCACTTACAATCAAAGAGCATTTGGAACTCCACCAATGATCGAATTGAACCAAGCTTGGCACACAGTTCTCCCATAACCAACAGAAAATACTGAAAGGATTTAGTGGGCAGTGTCCTTTGGTTTTGGAGTTGTAGTTCACCTACATCCAGAGATCACTCAAAGAATGATGGATCTGGACCAAACTCTACACAAATACTCAATATGCCCCAAAATGAACACTGGTGGAGCTTGGGGAAAATATAATCTTGACATTTGGGAGTTGTAGTTGCTGGGATTTATAGTTCACCTACAATCACAGAGCATTCTGAACCCCACCAATGATAGAATTGGGCCAAACCTCCCACACAGAACCCCAATGTGGGCCACAGCAGGGGACGGCTAGTATTTTATATAGACATACATACATATAATAAATGGGAATATGGGGCATATACAGAGTTCATATGGGAAAGAGGGAACATGCAGGGTTGGGGGAAAGATCTGTCTTTGCCACCCAGAAGGTTGATACAGAAGGAGTCCAATTCATAAAAATAACCTTAATGGCCTTATGCTGGTCTGGGTCACAGGGGTGACACATGAGGAGCTTTCTGGGGCCAGTAGGCACAATGGGGCACCATTTTGAGGTGACATGCACAAGAAAGAAAGGGAACATGAACATCATTGCCATGTGAAGCCATGGGACCATGGAAAAAGTCTTAGGTTCCTACATGGGATGAGAGATGGGGGATTATGGGCTGGTAGTTAAGGGAGAGAAAGTGGAAAGGAATGGAAAAAAGGGAACAGAACAGGGCTTGAGATGTGAAAAGATTATATGTGTGTGTATTTTGGTAGGATATGTTTTTATCCAGTATCGGCAAAAGTGACTCATAGATTATTCAGAAAAGCAAGAATGGGCAGGAAAGATGGGATTTCAGAAATAAGGGCAAGGTTATAGAATATTATTTACCTGGCATTTCCCTTTTAACTAGCCTCAGAAAAAGGCCTTGGTATCCCTTTGTTTGAGAGTCATTGCATTCCAGCCTGGTGTCCTTGGCAAAACTATAAATTACCTGATTACAAACTATCTTTTATTTGGGGGGGGGGTAGTTATGTTCAGCAACAGCACTACATTTCTGATGTAAGTGGCTAGAAGGAGATGGTTTTATGAGACTGGAGAGAAGAGGAGAAGGGCAGAAATAGGGAGTGGGGATGTTACTATGCCCAGAAACATCAGAAGCGAGGATCTGAACATGGTTACTATTTCTATATTGACCTGAAATATTGATTGTAACTCTTCTTCTTCTTCTTGCATTGATCCAAATGGCAGTTGGCAGAACAATATGGAGACATTTTTACTGTGTGGGCGGGACATATACCAGTTGTAGTTTTGTCTGGCTTTCAAGCTGTGAAAGAAGGACTGATTGATCATTCGGAAGACTTCTCTGAGCGGCCACTGACTCCATTTTTTACTACTTTAGCAAGAGGAAAGGGTAAGTTGTGGAGAACTGTACTAGATCTTTTTTCAGAGAAACAATATGAGAACAAATGATCCTTTTGAGGAAAGTTGTTATCAGTTGGAAATTACACTCCTGCTGGATCTACACTGCCATATAATCCAGATTACCAAATCAGATAATCCACATTATCTGCTTTATATTGGATTACATGTGTCTACGCTGCCATATAATTTGGTAGAGATGTGTGAAATGACCTTAAAAATCTGGAAAAAAAAGGGGGGGTGGCACACACCAAAATGCATGCTGGAATCCAGAATCAGATGGAAATAATTTGTTCAAAAAGTTCTCTTAAAAGTTGTGATTGACTGAAAAATATATTGCTTTGGAGGATGATATATCCCTGCAGTCAAAAGAATCATAAGAGTTAGTTGTGATACACTGATGTGGACTGCTCTTATTCTCATTTTATAATCCTGAAACAATTGATAAGAGATGTAACCAGATGGAGTCACAGACACACAGGAGGCTAAACGGAAGCACGAGAGGACAGCAATTCTCACAAGAACTCTCTCCAATCATTCCTTTCTTCTCATATTTTTCAAATTAAACAGAGCTTGATATTACAGTGGGCACCAGCACGGTAGGCAAGTGACTCGAAAGCTACACGAGGTTCAAGAGTGCAAACTTAAAGGCACAAGGAGGGTGAGGGGAGATGATGACAAGAAATCTGTTTGTGTGCATTTTCTTATATCTGCATCTGCGCCTATGTGGTGCAGCACATCTCTGAGGTTCAATAAGAAAAAAAAGAAAAAAGTTATGGAGGATGTCACCTATCCATTTTGCAAAATCCACAGTAACCAAGCCTTTCAGGATGCCAGGGAACCATTTACTGAGACTGAAAGCACTGTGCTCAGACTCCTTTTCAGGCTCTTTTTGGAATAGCTTTACATCTCATTTGTTGGTTACCTGTGTTGCATATGGGATGCAAGGCTGGAGAGAGAATAAGGATTTGTAAAATGGTGGGACTATTTGCTCCCAGCCACATGGTGGTTGTGGTGCTTGTGGTTGATAGATTCTCAACTTTCTCAGGGGCTGATAGCAAAAAAAAAAAATCTGGATTGGGGGGAATTGAGATTTTGAATAACTGGATAAGGAAGGGTCAACTTGTATTTAGAGTAGCAACCTAGCCAGTAGCCATATTTCATCTCAATTTTTAAAATAAGAATTGCATATTGATTCCTTCCACACCCAGGTGTTGCATTTTCAAATGGTCATACCTGGAAGCAGCAGAGGCGGTTTGGCCTAGTTACACTGCGAAAACTGGGAGTGGGGAAAAAAAGTGTGGAGGGCCAAATAGAAGAGGAAACCCAACAGCTTGCAGAAGTTTTTGCACATGAAAAAGGTATGTGCCAACCTGCAGAAATGTGTGTGTTGTCAGCACTGGTCTTTGTTGTGGAATTTGTTGATTTCTAATATAAACATATGTAGACATAAATCCTAACAGTTCTTTCTCCAAAGAAAATTTCAATTGAGACTATGAAATTGTAGACTGATATTAACTGAACTTGATTTGCAGGGCAGCCATTTGATCCTGCATTGCCCATCACAAATTCAATCTCCAATGTGATATGTGCCATGACCTTTGGATACCGCTTCCCCCTTGAAGATGAAACCTTCAAGGAATTGATTGATGCCGTGGCATTTACCTTAAAATTTGCAAGAAGTCTTTTTTATGGGGTAAGGAGAAATTTGAAAACAATTGCAGTAATGTTTTAAGTGTTGGATTTGGTCATGGCAAAATGGAGTAAATCCTGCAGAGTTAAATTCCCACAGTCTACACTAGGAAAGTAAATATTTGACCATTCCATTCTCATGTATGAGGATCAATGCTTTGTGCAGTTTTCTCTCAGTTGATGGAGAAAACGAAGGCTGGAATCCTCTTAGGGAGTCACATATTTGTAAGTGGATTTAGGTTTGTAGGAATTTAAATTGAGAAAGTCTATTCCAGGCATGGGTAAACTTTGGCCCTCCAGGTGTTTTGGACTTAAACTCCCAGAAAATCCCAACCAGCTGACTGGCATTTAGGAATTGTGGAAGTTGAAGTCCAAAACACTGGAGGGCCTAAATTTGCCCATGCTTGGTTTATCATGTCTGCATCAAATAATGGGCTGCTACATTACTATCAACCAGAGGCAACAAAGTGATTGATGCAGGAGGGGGTTGGTGCAGAATGGAACAGTTGGATTTGCTTGTGGATTGATTTGTCATTTTTGCAGTCCATGATGTCTGTCAAATACCCCTCTAGTAGCACATTTCAAACGAGTTGATTTTGTTCCTATTGTTTGTCTTCACTATTCAGCTTTCACAAAAATATCTAAAAATTAGAAATTGGAATGGACAATACAAGATCCTGAAATGTAAAGATATATTATTGCATAGTTCCTACATATAGTTGGGCGGGGGGATCACTAAAGAAGTATTCAAATAAATAACCAACATACATAGGGAAAAGTTTTGTAAGGCTAAAGTGCAAAATAATCTCAGGTTTGCCAGGGAGATTATAACAATAAAATTGATTCTTTGGTTGTGTCAGTAGATAAATAAAGAAAAGGAAACAGTAGGACCTCTGTGTGGAAAAGGTGATGAAATGATAACGGGGGGGGGGGGGGGGGATGAGGAAAAATTCAGAGTTGCTGAACACCTTCTTTGCCTCAGTATTCTTCCAAAAGATTGGTGTTCAACCTGATCAATATGGTGCGGATGAGGTAATATGAGCAATGCAACCCAAAAACAAGGAGCAAAAAAATAAGAGAAGTTTAAAGAAACCAGAATGGATGTCCAAAGAACATTTAACTGTGTTAAGATTTCAAAAAAATTCAATATGAAATGGAAAAGGGGGAAAATCACCAAAGAGGAATTCAAATAAATAACCAACATACAAAGGGAAAAGTTTGTAAGGATAAAGTGCAAAACGATCTCAGGCTTGCAAGAGAAATTATAACAATAAAAGGGGTTCTTTGGTTATGTCAGTAGAAAAAGAAAGAAAAGGAAAGAGTAGGACCTCTGTGTGGAGAAGGTGATGAAATGATAACAGGGGGTAAGAAAAAGGAAGAGCTGCTCAATACCTTCTTTGCCTCAGTCTTCTCCCAAAAGACTGGTGTTCAACTTGAGCAATATGGAGTGGATGAGATAATACAGGAAAAGCAACCCAAAATAGGTAAAGAAGTATCAGGTCTGTTGTGCACCTTCTGATGAGGTGAATAAATCATGAAGTCATCCAAATAAATGATGACACAGTGGCCCAAAAAGTCTTGGAAAATTTCATTAACAAAATGTTGAAACATGGTATGAAGCGTTACACAAGATGAACGGGATTATAGTATATCCATAATAGCCATGTCAGGTTTGAAATGCCATTTTTCATTAATCTCCTCTGCCATTTGCATGATTGTGCCAATATGTCTAGTTTTGAGCCATGACCCAGAGCCACTGGGTTGGCCCCCTTGTGAGGCTCTGCCATGATCATCCTGCACACAATAAACTTTTCCTGGATAGGGCCAAGTGCCCTCAATCATTTTTATTATTTTTTCTGTTGAATAAAAGGAAACCCATTCGCTGCCACTCAATGCCCTCTGTCTTTTCACAAGCCAACTGCTCAGCAAAGCCCCCTTTCTGCGATTGGTCAGAATTGGGAGACTCGTCCAATGGGCTTTGCTACAGCTGATGTTGCTTGCAGAGGGAAATTTGAAATTATTGTGTATATAAGGAGACTGTGTCCATATGTGTTATTCTAGCTTCTTTGTGAATGTATCACAAGCTAGGATCTTATCTGCAGACAATAAAATCTTCCTTGGCTGAAATCACCTTCTCACCTTGCTGCTGGATTATTTTAATTGGGACTGATCTGTATGCTTATACAACACAAGTACCACTTATGCMGAAAGTAAACAATAATAGAATTCTGCATGCAGTTTTATAAACATGTTATRCCGTTCAATTTCACAGTCAAACGATATTGTGTAAATTTTGGTACAGTCTCTTTAAAATAATATCAATGTCGTATCTTCTTTATGTTGGGTTGCATATGGATCAGCCGCCCACGACCGGTTTCGKCCTTACTTCAGGCCTTCTTCTGGTGGACTGATATTAATGTATAAATCAATATTTTGCTACAGTTACATACATATTAAATATCTTATACTAGAATGCATTCAAAGAAACTTGCTAAGTCTTCACACTTGTTATTACAACAATATTTGTTGAACATATCCATTAAACACCATGTGTAYACCAAGTAACACATTTAAGTTACTTACAAAGTTATACACTTGAGAATTTGTTCTCCTTGGGAGATACAGGTTTTTGGCTCAGTAGTATCTAAATCAAAGGAACAAAATGTGGCTATGARTGTTTGAAAATTACTATGTTAAAAATGATTATTTTGTAAAAATATTAAGGTGTTTTACAAATTAGGAGGGTACTCACGTGATACTCTGCTCTATGTTGAGTTCTGGCTGTGAGTATGGAAGAGGTCTGTGGGTTYCCTCTATTTAAAGGGAAAATGACTACTTCAGGTAAAAAGGAGGTGGTCAGTTGGAGCCATAGGAACAAGGRTTGTGAACAGCAACCACCAGATGGCGCTGTGGATGCTCTCCATGTATTCAAGTAGGGATATATAGTATAATTGATTGAGGTCCAGAGAGTATATGTAACAGTTGTACAAATTTAGTTCATTCAGACCATGTGGGTATTCCTTCCTTAATCTGAAAATCCAGTATGCTTCTCTCTGTAGAAGTTTGTTGTTGAAATCCATTTGTTTGGAATGAGTAACCACTTAAAGGATTCTGGGCTGCCGGTCTAATTGTGTCTTCTAAAAGTTTAGATCTGGGAGTACTGGCAACCTTCGAAAAGGATGATTGTATAAATGTGTTCAGGATATCCTCTGTTTCTAAACTGATGTTTAGTCACTTCAATCTCATCATTGAAGTCTTGTGGGGTTGAGGAATTAGACCGGCAGTTGATAGATTGATATGGCCACTTATTCTCACAAATATGTCTAATTTGGCCATTAGAACAGTCAGAAAATACTGGAATCTTATAAGAGACATCCCGGAATGCGAGAGACCCCCATTGATAGCACACAAAAGGACTCAAAATATTAGCGATATATTGGTACACTCAGATGTAACCCACAAGACTCAGACCACCAAGCGCAATTTGGTGGGCAATTATCATTGTCATCACTGTTCAGAGTGTCCCCAACTGGTGGAAACTAAAATTCTCATACACCCACACCCACACTTATTATTTGAGTTCAAATTTTCCCATTTTGCGACCTGCACCTCGAAGGGATTAGTTTATTTACTTAATTGTAGTTACAATCTTTCTTATGTGGGTCAAACTCGCAGAGAGATAAGATCTAGGATAATTGAACACAGGAGTAAAATCAAAAATCATTCCAGGGAGTCTATACTTTACAAACACTTTGATGATTTACAACATAGCCCAGAATCATTTAGGTTTCATATCCTTGAAGTGGTTACTCATTCCAAACAAATGGATTTCAACAACAAACTTCTATGGAGAGAAGCATACTGGATTTTCAGATTAAGGACAGAATACCCACATGGTTTGAATGAACTAAATGTGTACAACTGTTACATATAATCTCTGGACCGCAATCAATTATACTATATATTCCTACTTGAATACATGGAGAGCATCCACAGCGCCATTTGGTGGTTGCTGTTCACAACCCTTGCTCCTATGGCCCCAACTGAGCTTCTCCTTTTTACCTGAAGTAGTTCTTTTCCCTTTAAGTAGAGGGAACCCACAGATTGCTTCCATACTCACAGCCAGAACTCAACATAGAGCAGAGTATCATGTGAGTACCCTCCTAATTTGTAAAACACCTTAATATTTTTACAAAATAATCATTTTTAACATAGTAATTTTCATAGCCACTCATAGCCACATTTTGTTCTTTTGATTTAGATACCACTGAGCCAAAAACCTGTATCTCCCAAGGAGAACAAATTCTCAAGTGTATAACTTTGTAAGTAACTTAAATGTGTTGTAACACATGGTGTTTAATGGATATGTTCAACAAATATTGTTGTAATAACAAGTGTGAAGACTTAGCAAGTTTCTTTGAATACATTCTAGTATAACATATTTAATATGATTTATACATATTGATTTATACATTTATTTATTTATTTATTTATTTTATTTCAGTTACTTCTACCCCGCCCTTCTCACCCCCGAGGGGGACTCAGGGCAGCTTACAAAAGAAGGCACAATTTGATGCCTATGTCAAAAATACATACATACATAAAAG